TCTTTGAAAGCAAATGCCTTATATCAGTTCCTACATCCAGCTGTAAATTCATGCTTAGTATTAGTCGTTCTGGTTGGGTTTTTGGTGTATCTCATTGTGGTTTTCATTTGCATTTCCATAAAGATTAACGAGATGAGCATCTACACTAATAGATAAATATGTAAATTGACCATGCCTCTGTGATGACCCACAGCCAATCAGGAGGGAATATGCAAATTAGCAGGACAAAGATGGCAGCAGCCACGGAGCCAGCCGGAGCAGGCAGGAGGCTTGGGTTACCCCAAAAACAGAGGAAGCCAAGCTTCCCACCCACCTGGGCTGGCTGCCAAAGGAGGGACCTGTGGACAGTGGCCACAGAGCAGGCCGGAGATAGTGGGAGGCTTGAATCACCACCATCAATGGAGGAAACTTGGCTTCCTCCATCGCCAAGGGCAACCCAAGCTTCCTGCCTGCCCTGGATGGCTGCTGAAGGAGGGGCCTGTGGGCGGTGGCCACAGAGTTGGCCTGAGCTGCTGGAGGCTTGGGTTGCCCAGGCTGGCCACAGAGGGAGGGGCCTACAAACTACACTCAGTCCTTCTCCCAGGCTGGCCATGCCCCCATGGGTGTGCAGGTTCCTTCTGGGGGGCATGGCCATCCTGAAAACAGCCCTCAGCCCCTTACCCAGACTGGCCAGGCACCCCAGGGGGGACCCCCACCCGGAAGGGTGTGTGACCAGCTGCAAACAACCATCAGCCCCTCACCCAGGTTGGCCAGGCACCCAAGTGGGACCCCCACCCTGTCCAGAACACCCTCAAGGCAAACCAGCCAACCCCACTTGTGCACCAAGCCTCTATCCTATATATTAAAAGGGTAATATGCCTCCCAGCACTGGGATCAGCGGAGCCGCGAGGCCTCCCGGCACCAGGATCAGAGTGACAGGGGGCCGCGCCCAAACCCCCTGATCACCCTGCATCTCTGTGTGTGACAGGGGGCGGGGCCACAACCTCCCTATTCGCCCTGCTCTGTGCCTGATAGGGGGTAGCTCCCCAACCCCCTGATCACTCTGCAGCTCTGTGTATGACAGGGGGCGCGGCCACAACCTCCCTATCCACCCTGCTCTGTTCGTGACGGGATGGCACCGCAACCATCCCATCGACCCTGCCTTGAGTATGACAGGGGGCGGTGCCCCAATCCCCCGATCAGCCCTACACTGAGGGTGACTGAGGGTGGCATCGCAACCTCCCGATCTGCCCTGCTCTGTGCATGACAGGGGCAGCGCCCCAACTCCCCAATCGGCCCTGCTCTGAGCCTGACCAGGGGCTGCACCTAGGGATTGGGCCTGCTCTCTGCCACCCGGGAGCAGGCCTAAGCCAGCAGGGCGTTATCTCCCAAGGGGTCCCAAACTGCGAGATGGCACAGGCCAGGCTGAGGGACCCCCCCTTTTTCCCGAGTGCACAAATTTTTGTGCACTGGGCCTGTAGTAAAAAATAAAAGGCTAATATGCAAATTGTCCCCTTTTGAGTTCAACCGACTGGGAGTTCAAACACTCACTATGACATGCACTGACCACTAGGGGGCAGCTTGGAATGAACGAAGGCCCAGCCAGCAGCTGGCAGCCAGGGAAAGGAAGGCCCTGGCTGACCCTGATTGCCAGCCAGGCCTAAGGACCCTACCCATGCACAAGTTTCATGCACTAGGCCTCTAGTATGTAAAAAAAATATTAGTAAGGATATAGAAGATTTTGACAATATGGTTAACAAGCATTTAATAGAGTTATTTATGACATTCAAATCAATAACTGCAGAATGCATCATTTTCAAAGATCTAAGAAACATTTAACAAAATCAACCAATTGCTGGGCAGAATTTCAAAGACTAACCTCATAAAAGTGTGTTCTCTTACTACCCTAGATTTAAGTTAGAATTCAATATAAAAAACAGATGCCACCCAGCTGGCATGGCTCAGTGATTGAGCGTCGAACTATAAACCAGAAGGTCACTTCAATTCCCCCTCAGGGCATATGCCTGGGTTGTGGGCTCAATCCCCTGTGTGGAGCCTGCAGAATGTAGCCAATCAATGATTCTCTCTCATTATTGATGTTTCTATCTCTCTGTCCCTCTCCCTTCCTCTCTGAAATAGATGAAAATATATTATTTTAAAAGCTTAAGAAAAAAATACATAAATTCCCCATGAAATCTGATATTAAAGAAGATAATTATAAATAACTCATGACCAAAGAAAAAAATCATAATAGAAATTAAAAACTAGAATTCAATCTATATCATAAAAATTTATATTAAAATGTGTGAAGTGCAACTAAACAGTGAAAGTAAGATAATTCAATCCTTAAATGCATATTTTAGAAAAGAACAAAGGCTGAAAAACTAAGCATTTAAGCATCTGTATAAAAAAATGATGAGGAATAAATTAAATCCAAAAAAGAAAAGGAAAGAAAGAACATGGCAGAATTCAATAATTTTAAACAAATATGCAATATGGCATTAAAATGTGTTAGAAAAAAAGCAAAACAGTTCACAAATGTTTCTCTCACATCAATATTTCTCTCTGTCTTTCCTCTCTCTTCCACTCTCTCTAAAAATCAATGAAAAAATATCCTTGGGTGAGGAATATAGAAATCCTCAATGGAACACACTAGCCTTTATTCAGAGTGGCTGAAAATGGAAGGTCACTCACTCTTACTACTAAACTATTCACTTTCCTCCTGAAATTAACCTCTTAAAACCTATAAGAAAATGTGTTAGTGAGGGGAAAAGATAAACTTAACTAAACTAAACCAAACCAAACAAACCTGAAGTGGTTTCAGCACTCTCCCACACCTCAACCACAGGAAACAGATCAGCATGGAGTTGCCTTGAGATAAGATTATTAGGCACCTCCCAGAGTAGAGATGAAGTGACTTTGAGGGGAGAAAATATATTGGTTGGTCCAGGGAGAGACTTTTCAAAAGGATGGAGTTAGTAGGATCCAGGATTAGTAGTGACCAATCAGGTTTAGACTCCAGTTTAATTAATCTTAGAAAATAATGATTCTTGACTTGTACCCAGGTTGGCTTAGAGAATCCTGTGACCATTTTACTCCAATAGGCTAGACGCAGAGGTGAATGGGAAGGTTCTCTCCCTTCACCCTTTCTCAAGAACTAGGTTGGCAAAAATTCAGCAGCTACTCTAGTTTTGTATCTCAGCTGATGTAGAGACAGCAACCTGGAAATTTCATATTTATCTTGACAGTTACCCTAAATGTCTCAAGGTAACTGTCTGTGTCTTCTGAGAAGCCACATAGAGCCAAGTGGGGCTCTAATAGAAGAAAAATCCTGTGTGGCTTTCAAATGCAGGAAGAGACGTTATTCTGTTAGGCTTCTAATTTTACTATATGTTATAGTGTTAAAAAAATAAAAATACTGTTCTCTCTGACTCTATCTGTCTGTTTATCTATTCTCTCTCTCTCTCTCTCTCTCTCTCTCTCTCTCTCTCTCTCTCTCTCACACCCACACACACACACACACACACACACACACACACACACCACTGCCAAAGCCTTGCTGAACCCATGATTGGGCTATACTTATAATTCCACATTCTATCCAAAAATTTTAAATACTCTTTTTCTTTCTTGCTTTTCTCACTCCAATCCCTTCAGTCTTCAAATCTGGTTTTCCAAGCAAAATCAAGAAACTCACGTGACTTTGGCACAGACAGTGCACTTCCAGCTGCCATCAAAGTCTGACACCCGACACTCACTGCACACCCTCAGTGAGCAGGCCTGGCATGGGTTTCCCCGGTCAAATATTAAGCCCAGGTTTCTCTGACAGTAAACACAGACTCTGCTGGTCTCTTGTTGAATCTTCCCACTTCTATGTTTTGCTTCTAAGAGTTCGTTTTTCAGCTTCCTGGAAGGAGAAGGGGAAAATAACTTTAAAAAACAAAGAGAGTAGCTACGCTATATTTAAGGATTATTTTCATTTGGAATAACATTTAAAAAAAAACCAAGGAGTCAGAGCCAAATAATTTCAGAAAACATAATTTCTTCCTCTAGAGCAGTGGTTTTCAACCTTCCTAATGTTTATGTGTGGTGACCCCCAATTTCATTGTTACAAATTGAACATAACTAAAGCATAGTGATTAATCACAAAAACAATATGTAATTATATATGTGTTTTCTGATGGTCTTAGGCGACCCCTGTGATAGGGTCGTTCAACCCCCAAAGGGGTCGCGACCCACAAGTTGAGAACCTCTGCTCTAGAGTCAACAATTTTTTGACATCGATAGTTGAAAAACATGTTTGTGTTTTACTTTTGAATTTTGACATCCTTCTTGAGCACTACTACTTTGAAATTAGTATTTATTCACATTCTACTCTAACTTCTCCAAGATCTTTGGTACCATAATATTGAAGCACAACCCTAGCCTAGAGACATGCATAATATCATGTTCTTTACTTGCTTAGATATACTACATGGAGGAAGAGTGTGAAATCAAGCTTGGCAACATGGGAACTTTCCTTAGGTGATCCAATGAAGAGATTGCTATAAAGACATTACCTACTATTTCAGATCTAAATGCTTCTTCTTATCATATGAGGGTATCCAAAATGTCCCTTAACCTATGGGCTTTTCTGTCAGAGTGTGAATTCAAGTTGCATCATGAATTAGCTGTCCAGCCTTAGAAAACTATTTACCCACTCAACCTGTGGAGCTTCGTTTTTAAAATGGGGGTAATAACATTCTTATTCTTATTATATTATTTTCTGTTTTATAAAATAGTTTTAAAATATACTTTCATTGATTTCAGAGACATGAAGGGAGAGGGATAGAGAGATAGAAAGATCAATGATGAGGGAGAATCTTTGATTGACTGCCTCCTGCTGGAGATCAAGCCTACAACCCAGGCACGTGCCCTGACTGCGAATCAAACTGTGACCTACTGCTTCATAGGTCAACATTCAACCATTGAGCAACACCGGTCAGGCTATTATTTTCTGTTTTTAAGATTAAATGACATATAGGGGGGGTGAGGGCATAAGTGGGGGGGGCAGGGGGTAATGGGGGGATAAGGACACATATGTAATACCTTAATCAATAAAGAAATTTTAAAAAAGATGAAATGACATAGCCCTGGCTTGCATGGCTAAATGGTTAGAGTATCAGCCTAGGGACCCAAGGACTGTAGGTTCGATTCCCAGTCAAGGGCACATACCTAGATTGCAGGTTCGGCCCCCCAGCCCTGGTTGGATATGAGTGAGAGTCAGCCAATTGATGTGTCTCTTTCACATAGATGTTTCTCTCCTATCCCTTCTTTCTATTCTTTCTAAAAAAATCAATGGAAAAAATATTCTTCGGTGGGCGTTAACAACAACAAAACAGATTAAATAGTATAATATATAAAGTTACCAGCACAGTTCCTGGCATATAGGTACTAAATAAATGCTATTCCATGTCTTTTTTTTTTTTTTTTACTACCTGACACATATACTTATATACAATTTATAAGATAACTATTCAACGTGTGGTCCTTGTTCTGGGAGTGTCAGCATCATCTGGGAGTTTGTTAGGAATGGAGAATCTCAGGCCCCACCTCATACCTACTGGATCAGATTCTGCATTTCACAAAATCTCCAAGTGATTAAAGTTTTAGAAGCACAACTTTAGAACATTTGTTATCGAATTTGGCTATGCACTGGAATCACCTGGGAAGATTTTAAAAAATTATACTAATTCCTGAGCCTCACCCCCCGACTCTCATAATTGGTTTATGATGCGGTCTGTGCAATGATATTTTTATTTTTATTTTTTAACATATATATTTTACTGATTTTTTTTACAGAGAGGAAGGGAGAGGGATAGAGAGGCAGACACATCGATGAGAGAGAAACATCGATCAGCTGCCTCCTGCACGCCCCCTACAGGGG